TCAGCTTTTTCTCGTCATCTTAACATTGGATAATATTATATCTAAAGCTAAGTAAAGCATCTTTACAGACATTTATAGGCAAGAAATGTGTATGTGAAACTAGAAGACTAAAGTTAAATAAAATAAATGATATATAGAAAGTGATTTTATCAGCAGCATTAAACTTTCATCATGTAAATCATGTGCCATGCCTAAGTCATGATGCATGCTTTGAAATCATCAGGAGTAGATTATAGATGGATAGATCCAGTGCCATATAATTGCTTTGCTAGCTTAGGCTCGCCCCTTAATGTTCTACATTGCTTCTAGTAATAATAATAATAATAATAATAATAATAATAATAATTGTGTATTATTGTTCAATATTAGGTTGGTATTGCCATCTGCTATAGAGAGGGAAAGGAGGAAGAGTAATTTTGAACATTATAAGGACACCACACTCTCAGCCTGTGAGTACATGTACATGTATGCATGTATACATTATTTGTTTTTAATTTACATGTAGTGTTTCTGGAGCTAATGGTTAGAATATTTGAGTAAGTTACATAGGATGATAATGATACTTGAAGAACCACTCCAGGTTAGGATAGGCTTACTGAGGGTAGTAGCCATGTTTTCTGGGTCATTATCTCTCCTCTTCCTTCTTCCTGTTTTTTGTTCTCTCTCTCTCTTCCCCTTTTATTCAATAAAGTCTGGTTTATATGATGTCCTCCCTACTACTATTGGAAGGTTTGGTTCCTGAGGATTTGAGGCTTTTGCTCTGTGGGTGTCAGCAGGTTGAACTTGACGTACTCAAAAAGATAACAACTTTCACTGACGAGACTTGTAAGTGAAAATAATGTAATTGATCTAATTAGTTATTTTTACTAAGTAATGTTTGGTATTTTCTTGAATGAATGTATACACATATACATGTATAGTACATGTACATGTATAGTACATGTACATGTATAGTACATTGTACATGTACAAATGTACAGATGTGCATTTGTCTGTTTTCTATACATGCACTTGTGACCTTAAATGTAATTTAATTATTGGATTCAGAAAGGCACTTCATTTATCAGAAGCAAATGCTTTTCCTGATATACATGTTCTTATGTTGTGTAGAAAGTTCGAGCTCATTCCAATCAAAATTGGATTTATTGGTGGCATAGGGAAGTATACACATTGTAGGTAGAGGTATTCAGAAGATATTAAAGGTGTGGCCACAGGCCAGAGCCCCGCCCCCTCAGATTCACTACTTGATGTTAGCACCAATCCCAGTACAGATTGGACTCAATAGGTCAATGGAAATGAAGGAGAGGGACAGAATGGGGACATCAAATTCAGTGAGTATAGTACGATATCCATGTACATGTACATGTACTTTTTGATTTACATGTACAGTGTACAGTACAGTATGTATCAAGGGGTCCGAAACGGCCTCCAAAAGTGTACCAGATTTAAAATCCACTCAAATTTTGACTGGATTTTTGGATTTTTTTGGATTCTTGTTGGATTTTTTGGATTTTTTCTTGGATTTTTTGATCATATAACATTAATAAATAGTATCCACCATGTTATTAAAGTTAACTAACCATTAGTTATCTTAATTAACTATTAATAATGGTTAATTAACTATTAATAATGGTCAATTAACTATTAAAAATTACCACTCATTTAATAATAGCAGTTAATTAACTATTTTTAATGGTTAATAAATCATAGACAGTAAATCTTTGAATATTGTGACTGGATTTCCTTGGATTTTTTTGGATTACTGATTGGATTTTTGGATTATTGCAAGGATTTTCTGGATTACTGGTGGATTTCTGTGGATTATTGGATTTTTATTGGATTATTGGATTCTTTTACTGGATTTTTTTGATTTTTTGGAAAGTGTACCAGATTTTTCTTCGTTGCGGACCCCTCGGTATGTATAGCAATGCATCTATAGATAAGGAACTCTCCCATTTGAGAGAGACTGTGTTGTACATGTACAGTATGTACATGTAATTATTGTGTATTAATTCTCATCATTAATTTTCTTGTTATTTTCAAGAGTCCAGATAATGGGATTGTCTTATTATTGT